GGATGGCCCAGGAGAGAGCGTGACACGCATCTTGGGGCTCTGAGACCGCCCACGCCTTCGACGAGGCTCCCCTTGCGAGTTCGTGTGCCCCCCCCCTCCCCCCCCCTCCAGACTGTCCGCCACTGTGACCTCCGCCGGGGGAGCTCCGCCTCTTCCTCCTCTCCCCTCCTCGGCTCGTTTGGTCTCCGTCCAGGGCGGAGATCGCGCGCGAAGCCATGATTCGCTTTGAAGCTCAGTGGCGCGCTCGATACAGCCCCCATGATCAGAGGCAACCATGGGGGGGGATCGGCATGGGCGGGGATGCACCGACCCCCAGTCGCCCACTGATCGCCGACAGGGGTCCGATAGCCCCGACCCTTCCAGGAAGGTGCGCGGTGGCGCTCTCGGGGGCCCGCCGCCGATCTGTCGACGACGCAGCTCGGCTCCCAGGTCGATGCTTCCCCGCCCGCGGCTCCGTGTTCCGCTCCGCCAGCTCTGGCGCCCGCCGCGCCCCGGCGCGCCGCGCGCCCCGGGCCGGCTCGCGCCGCGCCCCGGCGCGCCGCCCGCCCGCTCGCAGGGCACGGCGTGCCGCCCCGGGCCGTCGAAGGATGGCAGTCGGAGCACAGGTCCTCGACCGTGGCCTGCGGGAGCGGCCTCGCCGGCCCAGGGCAAGCCCCGCCCCCCTTCCGCGGCGTCCCCCCCCTCGCCTGGCCCTCAAAGGCGTGGCGTGTGCGGCCGGAGGGACGCTCGAACGGCGAGGGCGACGCATATGGAAGGGGATGGCCTGCCAGAGGACGTCGTAGGGGCCGCGCCCGAAGCGCCCTCCTCCTCTGCCGTGCGCTCCTGCCCCCTCCTCCCGGGTCGGGGCGGCCTCCCCCTGCCCGCCCTGCCCCTGCTGGCCAGCGCCGCTCCTCGCCGCCCTCGTCGTGCCGCCCCCCCTTCCTCCCCCTGCAGTCGGGCCGCTGAGTAAGGAACCCTTCTCGTTGGGGATGGGGCTCAGTGCTCCTCAATTGTGCGTTGTTTTTGTTCTAGGCGTTCCTTGTTTCGGGCTCCTGGTGGCAGCAGATCGACTCTGCAGTCAAGGCGCTGAAATATGAGGACCGCTCCGGGCCCCGGAGGGGCTCGTGCCTTTTTTTGTCGGGCCGTGGTGTAGGCTTCTGTGCACAGGTGTGTCGTGGGACCCGTTCGTGGCCGGGGCTTGCCATGGTCTGAAGAGCCCCTCTGCTCTCGCCTCGGGGTTCCTTCTGGTAGGACGCTGGCGGTATCCCCGTCGACGGCCGGTCCGTGTCGCTCGACGGGCCACCCGCGACGACCTGTGTGCTTCGGGAGAGGAGGGCTGCAGGCACTGGGCGCTGTCTCCCGCGTGGAGCCTCGGCCCGCGTCTGTTAGGTCGGGGCCTGCTGGCGGGGAGTCGTGCGATTCGATGCGGAAGGCTCGGAGTGTGAAGAGCGAGCGACCCCTGCAGCTCTGCAAGAGCGCGTCCCGACCAGAGTTTCGAGGCGGACCCCGCAGGAGGCCAAGAACTGAAGAACAGACTGGTAAGAAGAGGAGGAGGAGGAGGAGGACGACGAGGAGGAGAACATTGCTACGTCTGAGGGCGCTGCAGCCGTCAGGGTCTGACGATCTCGGAAGGAGAACGGAGAAGGAGGGTGAGAGTGAGGAGGATGAGGAGGAGCCGGAGGGGGGGGAAGGAGGGGGAGCAGGATTGGGAGCAGGAGCAGGGAGGAGGAGAACGGAGGGAGGAGGGAGGGAGGGACGGCCGAGGGGAGGAGGCACGCCAGGAGGATGTCATCGCACCCCCCCGCTCATCACTTCGCATTGCTCTGTGCTTCCTCTGCCCGCCGACACGTGCCATGGGAGACCTGGAACTCCACAACATCGTGAGATGTGGACTTGGGAACATGCAGCCGTGCACACTGGAGGAGGAGGTGGCGGGTGAGCGGGAGGATGAGCAGGAGGCAGAGGACGATGAGGGAGGAGGAGGAGGAGGACGAGGACGAGCAGCAGCAGCAGCGGGAGCTGCAGCGGAATGAGCGGGAGGAGCCGCAGGACCAGGGGAAGGCGAAGGAGAGAAAATGAAGGGGGCGACAACGATAAAAAAGGATCGGATCCAGAAAGGTGGATCGTGCTGGGGCGAGGGCGCCATTCCAAGTGACGGTCGCGGAGCGCCGATCCGAAAATGGGGCCCACGCTGCAGCGGGAGCACCTTCTTGAAGCACCGAGGGCAATCGGATTGCCAAAAAAACAAAAAGCCAGAAGAATCACAGCTCCCGAAAGCCCGCGCGCGAGTGAAAAGGCGCCTTGCTTCCGCCGTCCGCCGTCGACCGCCTCCTTCTCCTCCTCCTCCCCCTTCTCCCCCTCCTCCTCCTCCTCCCCCTCCTCCTCCTCCTCCTCCTCCTCCTCCTCCTTCTCCTCCTCCTCCTCCTCCCCCTCCTGCCCCTCCTCCTCCCCTTCTCCCCCTCCTCCTCCTCCTCCTCGCCCTCCTCCTTCCTCCTCCTTCTCAATAATCTCCTCCTCCCTC